CCCGGGGGCGCGGCGGGGCGGGAGCCTCACCGGGCAGCAGGCCCGGCCCAGGGGGGCTGCGTGGTGCTGGGGACCCCCCGGGGCTTCCTTCCCTTCTCCTGCCCGCTGGGGCTGGCGTACCCCGTCCCAGCGGCTGCCCGGGGAGGGGGGCTGGTGGGCAGAGCGGGCCGCCACTGTCACTCTGGGGACGGGGTTCGTGGGGGATGACCGCGTGTGCCCTAAGGCCTGATTTGGGAAGGCTGGAGCAGGCTCGGGACCCCTCAGAGCAGCGCTTTTACGCTTGCACTGACAGAACCTAAAATGCCCAGAAACATCTGTCCGTGCCTGCAGAGAAGTCCACTCGGGCTGAAACGTGGTTTTGCGTGTGTAGATGAGCTGGTCCGTGTGACTATCGCCATAAACTTGGTGATCCGTCCCGGGTTTCAAAGCCTGCTGTCCCTTTAATGTCTGGTTTGACAGCTTTGGGTGAGGAAGCACTTCCAACAGCTGTCTTCTTGGCAGTGCACCAAGCGCCGGCTTAAAGGGTCCCCGGCTGGAGCAGCTTCACCTTCTGCCTCAGAACAAACCCAGCGATTGTTTCGTTTTCCGGCCGCTTTTCTACCAAGCGAGGGCTGTGCTGTGGCACTGTGCATGCCTTTTGTACTGCAACTCTACGATTCCATTCAAAATACATACATTCTGTCTAAAAAACTTTTCTGCCGCTGTGATTATGTGGGTGGTAGCCCCGCTTTGATTGAAAATTAGAAGTGTTTTAAAAAAAAACTCATTAAACTTATTAAACTTTCAGAAATCACTGTTCTGCAGTCATTTCATGTATATTACATACTTTTCCAGATCTATATCTGACTACAGATGGTAGGCACACCCTGTTTTTGCCATCGGTTATTTCACTGCTGCTTTTACTGTACATATTTTGTTAATAAATACATCTGGGTTGCTACTTGTTTGGAGTATTTTCTGTGAGAATAACGTCTATGTTATTTTCCATTTTCTTTTACCAAAAGATGATGAAGATGAGGAGGAAGAGGATGAAGAAGAAGAAATAGATGTTGTGACAGTGGAGAAAAGACGCTCCTCCTCCAACAAGGCTGTTACCACCCTTACTATTACAGTGCGTCCTAAAAATACCACTTTTCCGTCAGTCAGGACACAGCAGAATGAACTGATTTTAAAGCGTTGCGCACCAATTCACCAGCAGCATAATTATGCCGCTCCTTCTCCATACATGGAGAATGAAGATGCTCCACCACAGAAAAAGTTAAAAACCGAGGTGCCCCGTCCAGTAAAACCCACGATCCAACCAAAGTCTAAGAGTTCAAGTCCTCGAAACTCTGATTCAGAGGATAGTGAACGTCGACGCAACCATAATATCCTGGAGCGTCAACGGCGTAATGATCTACGGTCAAGTTTCCTCACGTTAAGGGACCATGTTCCAGAACTGGTTAAAAATGAGAAAGCTGCAAAAGTTGTGATCTTGAAAAAAGCCACTGAATATGTTCATTCCCTTCAGGCAGAGGAGCAGAAGTTATTGCTAGAAAAGGAAAAATTGCAAGCCAGGCAACAACAATTGCTAAAGAAAATAGAATACAAGCGGACTTGCTAAACTTTGTTTTGTTTTGTTTTGTTTTGGCTGACCAGGACAGTCATTGCCACTTTGCACATTTTTGATTCTTTAAAAAAAATTGTGTTTTTTGACGTTAAGAATGTTGGTTTTACTTTCAATCCAGTCCCTGAAGTAATCGACAAACTATATTATCCGGGTACGGAGCAAATGGATGTTCTTGCAAGGAGTTTTTTGCAAGACTACCAAACAACAATGGACTGCCTTTGTTTTTCTTCTTAAGAACTGTAGATGGTGGGGATTTTTTTTTTTTTAATTGTTGTGAGCATTTGGAGCTGCTGATGACATCTAGTTGAGTTTTAAAACGTTCATTCCTAAGTTTTATGGTGCTTATGTTTTAACAGATGTTACTTTAGGGGTTGGCATTTTGTACCCCTGTGGGAATTTTCTGTAAATACCATCTACACACTTGCCTTTTGTACATGTCTTGGGTTATGAGAGGTGGCTTTTGCTACCAGTATTAGACTGGAAGTTCATACCTAAGTACTGTAATACCTCAATGTTTGAGGAGCATGTTTTTGTATACAAATATATTGTTAATCTCTGTTATGTACTGTACTAATTCTTACATTGCCTGTATACTTTAGTATGATGCTGATACATAACTAAATTTGATACTTATATTTTCGTATGAAAATGAGTTGTGAAAGTTTTGAGTAGATATTACTTTATCACTTTTTTGAACTAAGAAACTTTTGTAAAGAAATTTACTATATATGCCTTTTCCTAGCCTGTTTCTTCCAGTTAATGTATTTGTTAATGTTTGGTGCATAGAACTGGGTAACTGCAAAGTTCTGTGTTTCATTTCTTCCAACGATGTACATTTAGTGCTGCGTCTTATAGCACTTTGAAATACCTCATGTTTATGAAAATAAATAGCAATTACATGATGTGCCATTTACTATTTTTCTTTTAAATGAAGTTCTTCTAAATAAAATCTTTAACTTCTCAATGTTCATGAAATACAAAAACATGGTCCCATATCCTGGGCACTTAAACTCTCAAACTTTAGGTGATGCTCTACAAAAAGTCAGCCAGCCAGGACCTTTTTTATTCTTTCATACTTCAGATGTCTCTTGTGATGTCAGGATCATCCCAGGGGACTGAATGTACCACAGTTAATGGAAAGACTCCTGTGTCTTGTGAAGACTTCTGGAATATCCACTGTACGCAGGAACCGTGAGGGATCAGAAACACAGCTACCATGCTTCTGCTAAGGGACTGGCCTCAGTGTGGTAGACAAGTGGAGAATTAAATGATGGAGGTACCCTTGCTACAGCACAGAAAATGAAATATTTGTAGTAAACAAAGATCTTGCTTGACTGCTGTTCTTATTTGCATTACAAAAGGCTTATCCTTAAAGCGGTCCATCATTGCATAGGAGAATTAATGTTCTTGTTTGTAGCTGAAGATCCTGCTTGTTACTACTTGTGCTAAGTTAGTAAAATTAAAGATCCCAGGGAAGATACAGAGCTATGAAGCGTGCGTCAAATGAACAATGAAACTTGGCAGGTGGTTGTCTCAAGAGGTGTGATGGCATTTGGTGTGACAGCAAGCAAGATGTTTAAGTCTGTGGTATATGTTTGGTCACTTTAGTAAGCTCCTTGAGACCCAGGAGTTGTTTTGTTTTCTAATCTGTAGAGGTATTACTGACATTGTCTTTCCCCACACTAAACCTGAAAAATAAGGTATGGATTAATGACCAAATGGCCAGTAAGTAGTTTAAGGATCAACTCGCAAGGAGCTAGTCTGGGACATCTGCCCCTACTTTAGCCACAAAGGAAGTAGCTTGCTTGGCGATGGAGGCACAGAACATCTCATGTTTGCCACGAGGTAACGAGAGTAAGAGCAGTATGGGGACAAAATCAGCACAGTAATGGATGCGCCATATGTCCATGCCCTGCAGTAGCTTGTTGGTGTATCCATAATCTGTGCATTTTTGGGCCCCAGCCAGCTTCTGTACCAAGAACATTGGGAATTGTACTTACTAATATTTCAGTGCAGTAAATCCAGATCCTCAACAGGCACAAATTGGTATAACGGCATTTGGATTCAGCTAAGCCTACACAAGTTTATGCTATTTGAAGATTTGGCCTGAATAGACTTAATATCTTCTAAATTCGTACTTGAGGACCACAGTCATTCCATAAATGGAATCCTTGTTTTCATTCCCTTGATGTGGACTTGATCATGCTTCTTCCACTTTCCCAGTATAGTAAAAAACAGTAAAAGACGAAGGCTAGTCAGAGATGATTAGTGTGGACGGTCACAGGGTACATTTAATTTTACCAGCTACAAAAACTATTTTCAAAACCCATTTTATTAGCAATTTTTTTTGAACTGCTGTTGTACTTTTTTCAAACAAGGTTCAAGTCATTTCGGTCTTCTTGAAGGAGAAGGAAAGCTTTTCAAACACCCATTGTATTGTCTTTCTAACCTGTGCCTGCTTGACTTCCAGCAAGGGCTTCTTAACATGAGTTTATGGTTAGTCTTAGTATAACATGAAAAAAAAAAAAAACCTTACAGCTGTATACTGGCCAAATACTTTCCTAGCAGATGCAAGTTGTATTCTGAACAAATAAATCACAGAATGATCTGTCACTGTCTCTTTACAGTCTAGGAATGTACTGTCTAAGCATTGAACATGCAAAATTGAACAGAGATCCCCTGACCTTTCCCTTCACTTCTCTTTCTGGAGAACATCTGGTCTGAATCCTCCACTCAGAGCAGGGCCAAATTCTAGGTCAGATCAGGTTGCTCAGGGTCATACGCAGCCAAGGTTTGAACGTCTTCAAGGATGACTTCCACAGCCTCTCTGGACAACACATTTCCATTTTTGACTACCATGACTGATACAAATTTTCCTACTATCTATTTGGAATTTTTCTTGTTGCGACCCCTGTCCATCGCCTCCTGTCTTTCTGTGTTTAACCTCCCAGAAGAGTCTCGCTCCACCTTCTCTGTAACCTCCCATTAGGTAGTTGAAGACAGCAATTACTTCTCCTTTCTCTTCTTGAGACAACCCAGTTCCGTCTTGTATTGTTGTGGTATCCAAGCATTTAGAGTATAATAAAGGTGTCAAATACTTAGATTTGTTTGGATATTCAACACAAATCCCATCTGAAAGCCTCTTTTTCGGTGTGGGAGTCTTGGCCTGATCCTTTTGAATTCAGTGATAAACGTCCAACTGCTGTCAGTGGAGATAGAATCTGGCCCCCGTATGGTTCAGAAATGCTCCCATGTACTGTACTGTTTGCTGCTATATGCTGTACTACCAGTACTTTGGGTTTGTCGGGGTTTTTTTTCTTCTTTTAAAGAACTTTCAGGAGTTAATAGGTTTGTTTTCATATTGTTGCTGTAGGGAGCGAGTTGTCAAGGACAAATGTTTTTGTAAACAAAAATCTCAGTTGTAGGATGTTATTAAGTTACAATTGTTAAATAGAAGATAGTGGTTTTCGATTCCTTTGTATTTACACGATAAAAAGAATTGAGAGGTGTCGGAAAGATAGCTTTTGAAAAGGAGAGGTAAACAACTCAGTAATATTTTCTGAAGAATCAGTACCCGGAAGGGTACACAGAGAAGGACATAGAGACACAGCAACAACAGTAACAGAAGATCCTTCTGCCTGCGTATCTAGAGTGAAGAGTCCATAAGGACTCAGTCAAGTAATCAATAGAGACACTATTCCTTTGTTTTGATATACATACCTACATTTGCATAACAAATGCAAACATATCTATCTGGAGAATCTGTTCGAAAATGTGGCAAGTACCTAATAACTGCTTATTAAAAAACGAGTATTGCTGATTCCTGAAGGGAAAACTGAATTAGATTGATTGCAATCTTATCTGATCTGCTATAAAAATTCCCAAGTTCTTTTTCATACAAGACAGAATGTGCTGATGGAATTGGATGGTTTCCTCCCAAATCACATATCCCAGAGGATGGTCTCCTTCCACTTTTCTGCTTATTTTCTTAAGAATACTACTAAGAACACATGGGACTTGAAACACCAAAATGAAATGATTCCTCCATAAACCAGTATAAGTAAAACACCAGGGGGAGAGCTTAAAAAGGTGAAATGTGTTAATGATGTCATTACCACTAGGTCACCTGTTGCCATGAGTGTGCAGGAAAGTGCATTTCTCAAACCCCAAGCTGCTGTTGTAGCAACTTATCACCACGTCTTGGCAGGACTGCTTGAGATTTCATGATGTGTATAATTTGCAGAGGGCACATTCGCTCCTGGTAAGTATACTGATAAACCAAGCTAGAATAAAATTACTTTAAAAGGATCCCATTCTTAAGCCTTAATTTCCTGGCTTGTGGCTGGTTTAAATCAGAAGATTTAATTTTATTTAAAGTTTTAAGTTCAAGATCATTAATTTAATGACTTTTTTATGTACCATGTTGTTTATCACGCTCTTGGCGAATGCTTCATAATTTATACCTGGGTTCCTTTCTTTTCCCTGTCTCCATTTCCCCTTTTTCCCCTTCCCCTTCCCTTTCTCTTCCCCTTTGTACCTAAACTATGCATGACGTCTCTTCTCTCAGGAGCCCAAAGCCATCAAACTTAAAGGGGTTTGAGGTGTCACAACGACCCCTTCAAGTAAGCAGGAATTTCAGTAGAAACACAAGATACACAACAATTCCAGAAATCTCACAGGAAAGTAATGGTGCAAAATGCAGAAGAGAAGCTGATTGTAGGGCCAGCACAGCGTTTTTTGCCCCAGCGCTTTTGGCTACCACTGGAGCATTGATAAGCAGAGCACCAACTTGCCTCAGCAACTGCCTGAATTCAGAGCCCTTGGTCTGTGTGCGGACAAGCTTTCACTTCTGCTGGGCTACCTTTTCCAATCTGCTGCCACACGCTAGTTTTTGCTGCCTATCTGCTTCTGCTGACCCTGCAAGGAGGCTTGGCCACAGTAAACCTGGCATTTTGCTGTTAGGTTGCATGAGGTTATAATTTCCCCTGCCTGCAGATCTGTGATTCTCATCCAGGTTTGTGCCCTTACTGGCCAGATCCTTCTTTCAATGAAATTAATTAGATATATATTTGAGCAACGGTCAACTTAGAGAAGATAAAATGAATTCTTGATCTCTGAGCTGGGAAGATTCCTTGTATGTATGTTGTATGTATAGATTCCATATGTGTTGATTCATGAGCGCTGCTAAATAAAGCCAAGTGTGTATTGTAACAAAGTAACAAGACTGTCCACTTGGTCCTTTGAAGAGAAAGCAAACAAACAAAGGTATTTTGTTTCCTGTGTTTATGATCACAGTATGACACACCTAAATAATGCAGAAATGAAAAAAAAGTACCTACAAAGTAAGTACAATTAATGGCAAGTATTTTTAACTCCATGATGAAATGGATGGGTGTGTAGACTTATCAGACTTAAAATTTATCAGACTTGCAACTGAATTATGACCTATTTGTTACTGATCTCTGAACTGTTGAGTTACATTTCATATGCGTAATCATTGTTAGGCTCCATATATACTATCACAGCTGCTCTACTTGTGAGCTATATGATTCGCCATGCTATAGTTCTTCCATCTGACATCATTGTTTAGATAAGTGGAGACATTTTCATTTTACGGTAAAATAAGATTTTTTTTTTTTCTTATTCTATGCTCCCAGTTTCCCAGGCTCATTTGTCTGCTTCAAGTATTTACTGCTTTCTATCTGCTTTCTATCTTCTATACTGCATGCATTTAGGGAGAACTGTCTTCTATGTTATCTGTCTGAAGCTGAGGTTAGATTGTGTTCCTGTGAGTTGCTATATCAATCATCATAAAATTATGACAAGAGTCCTGTTGTCCAAAAAAGCAGTGTCTAACAGCTAAATATAGTGTAGTTTTATATTAGAGGTAGGATGAATCATGTTTT